AATTATTAATCTTTTTCTGGGGCGAAGCCAGAAAGTTATTTTTTCAATGTTAGGGGGCCAGCAATGTTAAATTTTTAAAGTTTATTTGAATTAAAAAACAGTGAAAATTTCATATTCATAGGGGGGGGGCAGGCTCTACCTGCCCAACCCCTGTCTCCACCTTGATCTTTTTGACATCTCCATTAATATGCACCATGATCATTTTATCTTCATATACTCTATGACACCAATTAATTATTGAATCATGGTGAGTGAAGTCATGCACCCACAACTTTACCATCAGACTTAAAGCATCTCCAACAACGCTACCTAAATGACCTCCTATCCCAAATTTGGATAGTGGTGGCAAAAATCCAGCTCAAGCAGACTTCCAACTAGTCCCCCTAAATTTGTTGGCCTCCTATTTTCCTCCTCCCACCACCCATTTCTGTTGCCCCCCTACTCGGCCACCCAAATTCATGGTTTTTCCTCCGCCGCTCGACTCCGCCTCGACTCGGGAGGTACGCCGCCGTCGACGCGTCTGCCCTGGCCAGGAGGTTGCCCCAGCGGTCGCTGGCGTATGCCCAGCCGCCGCGGGCTCATCCGCCTCGGTCGGCCCCAGACACAGCCGCTCCGGTCAAGAGGTTCCCCGCAACCACCGCCGTCCGCCCAGCCGCCGCCGGCACATCCACCACAGCCGCTTGCCTATGCCCGACGGCATCCCTCCACCTGGCGCAATGCCCCTCTCCCACGGACGGTCCTCTCCGTCAACATCCCTCCATGGCGTCGCCCCTCACCGGCATCGCCCCTCTCCCGTGCGCGGCCTCTGATCCCCTCGCTCTCCCACACACGGCCCGCGAGCTCGCGACATGGGCGAGTTCGTCAATGGCGGCGAGATAAGGAAGACGATGACATGTGGATTCTACATGTCATTCTCTGCGAGGATGAAATTTTAGGTAATGTTGCTGGAGAAAACAATAAAAAATGAGTAGTGTTAAAATAGGTGGCTATCCAAACAATGTCTGTTTTGGATAGTATTGCTATAGCCAAACAATGTCTGTTTTGGATAGTATTGCTGGAGATGCTCTCATCCGGAATGAGTTGATCCATCGTGCCCCGGAGAGCGGCGTCGTCCGACACAATTTTTCGCCGAACCAGCACCATCTTTCGAAATGCGCTTGCAGAGAAGGCCAAGAAGATCGGTTTGGTGCCGCACCAATTCAATCCATAATGCTTGGTTTGCCAAACAAATATTAGGTTGGAATGATTCCGCATGGTCTGTTTGTCAATCCAAATGCATCGTTAAAAGTGCTTCCTTCAGTACTTGTCATATTCTCCGCCTCTCCCTTACATTTACTCCTTAGTCCTCACTCCCCTAGTGGAACTATTGTTTATAGGAAAAACATTTTTTATCTGTTTGCAACTTGTGCATTTTATCTTGCTATATACTCACTCAGTGGCGGGCCCAGCGGGTAGTCCAGGTAGACCCAGGACTACTTCTAAGCCCATAAAAAATTTGGCCCAAACAGGCAACATCGTCTGCTGTCCGCCCAGGTAGCATCTAGCCACTCCCGCTCCACGACTGGCCGCCGCCCACCGGCTGCTCGCCCCCTGCCACCACCTGCCCACCTTGCCAAGCGGCAGCCCCGACGCAGCGCCGCCCCGCGGCCCTGCATGGCCGCGCTCCGCCAGTCCGGCGGCGGCGAGCGCGCCAAGGAGCTGGTCGGGATAGCTGGTGGCCGCCCAGTGCCCTTGTCCGCCGTGCGCTTTGGCCCCGCGCTGGCCTACTCCAGTCCTACCTGGTGAGTTGTCAGGTGAGTAACTGACGAAACTGAAGATTTGTATTGTTCATGGGTTGATGAGAGTTAGTACATGGAGCTTATCTGTTAGCAGGTCCGGTGCACCGGTTGAAAAGAACTGAGGAAAAACAATTGATCTATATCTCTCATAGCCTAAACTCCTCTCCTCTTCTCCTCCCAACTTATCCCCAAAATCATCTCTATTTTATCTTAGATTATTGTCAGATCCTTCCACGGTCTTGTGGTGAGTGCTTGTGTTTACATCTGAACTTGATTTGGACATTGGAGAACGTAGAATGGAGATTGGACTATAAATTGGCCAATTGGGCTTAGGGAGTGTGAATTTGTGAGCCTAGAATTGATTGAAATTTGTTGTTTTTTTCATGAAATTGAGCATGAATAAATCAAATATTGCATTTTTTTAGAAGTATGATGCAAAAAATAGCATTACTTCTAAAATTGAGCCTAGGTTTGGTTAATTTATAGTCATGTATACTGAACTTTTTTTTAGATTTTACCGTATTGTATTAAATAAATTTGGCGATAAGCATGAGACAATTTTTTTTGACTAGGACTACCCTAGTTTCGAATCCTAGGTCCGCCACTGCACTCATTCCGTCCCTAAATATCTGTCGTTTTCGCTTATCGAGAAACAACTTTGACTAAATATATATTAAAAGTTTATTAATATTTATGATACATAATTAGTATCATTGGATAGATATTTAAATCTATTTTTTTAATAAATTTATTTAGAGATAAAAATGTTGCACGTATTTTTCTATAAATCGAGTTAAAGTTATCGGCACGTAAATTGTGGCGGCAAACATTTAGGGACAGAGGGAGTATTCTAGTAGCTTCTACAGCTAATAAAAATCAGTCATCATTCCTTTCTCGCAGGAAAAAATTAGCCGGCCCCTGTGTATAAATATGCATCAGATACAGTGCTAGCTCTTTCACGCCAAATCAGAAAGCAGAAAACAGACTAGCACACTGTAGTCTACTGCACTGCACGTCTGCTGATCGGAATCGGCCGATCGTCGCCGCCGGCGCTTCGTCCTATATATCCTCGGCTCGATTGCATTGCACGGTGGACTCATATGTATTTACCGACTCCGGCCCGAAGCATATGATGGTGAAAATTGGGTCGGGTTCTTCTCCGGCGACCATGATAAACGTTAACTAGGTATGGGCTTGGTTTGGTAGAGACCAGACATGGCAATGCACTGTACGTCTTGATATGGCGTGACGCCCTTCATATACACACGGCATACCATACACAGTGCTGTGCTGTTAACTGTTGGATTTGGTGCATGTCTACCTTTAATTTCAAAAAGATACGATTTCACGTATGCATCAGTAGCATTGCATATTGCCGACGATTGACGCGTTTTATGATTTCATCAGGGACAGACACGAGCACCGCCGCCTGCATCGTTAATGGGACTTACGCCATGGAGAGCGACGAGCACATGAACAGGACGCACACCGGCGAGGCGCTCGCGCCGGCGTGGTGGGAGAGCTTCAACTTCCGCCGGCTCAAAACGCTCAGGTACGAATGCGAGTGCCTGCTCTGCGAGACCAAGACCAGGCTGTCCTCCTCCTTCGGAGCCCACCGGCCATGCTCCATCTACGGAGCCATCCTAGAGCACGTGCCCCCGGCCGCCGGCGCGCTCCGCCACCCGTCGGCTCCACGCTACATCGTGGCGTTCCGGGGAACCATTCTCCGGCGGCACCAGCACAAGCACGAGCAGCAGCATCAGCACACGGTTTTCTGCGACATGCACCTGAACCTCCGGATACTCGTCAACAAGAAGCACGGCTGCGGCCGCTTCCGCGACGCCCGTAAAGAGGTCAGCAGACTCCTGGACTCCGTCTCCGACGGCAGCCATGTCGCCCCCGCCGCCGTCTGGCTCGTGGGCCACTCGCTCGGCGCGTCCATCGTGCTGAACGTGGGGCGCGACATGGCCACCAAGGGGTGCTACCTCCCGACGCTCCTCTTCAACCCGCCGCAGGTGTCGCTGGCGCCCAGCATGCTGCCGCAGGCCCTGCGGAGGGTCGCCAAGAGGGTCGTGTACCCGACGAGCTACGCCGTGAAGGCGGCGCTGGGGTCCACGGTCCTGAAGCGCCAGGAGAGGGACATGGAGGCGCTGTTCCAGACGCTGGCGCCCTGGGCGTCGGAGCTGTACGTCCACGAGAGGGACATCGTCTGCCAGGGCTTCATCGACTACTTCGAGCAGCGGCAGAAGATGCTGGATCGGCTCCGGCCCGTCGCCGAGGTAGCCATGAAGCTGTCTCTCCGTGACTCCGTGACATGCTCATATCCTTTCACTGCACCGATTCCGTCGAGAACGGCGAGGACCAGCGAGTGCGCCCACACCTCTTGCCGTCGGCGAGGCTATGGAAGAATTCAAGCTACCACTACGCGCACGGACTTGAGCAGTGGTGGAAGCCAGACAGCGAGCTGAGGTTGAGCTCCAGGCGATACAGCGATCGTGGAGCTGAGGCAGAGCTTCTCTATGGTTAACGGAACCGTGAGTGCAATGCTAAAGAGTCTGTCTACTGTGCAACCGTACGTTTTAGCAAAAGCTAACACATGGTTATTTGTTGGCTGCAAAACACACGATTTGTAACAGAGAAAAAATAGTGTGTTTTAGCACAAATTAGCGCATGGTTGTTGGCTGCCTGCAGAACACATGATTTCAAACAAAACAAAAACCGTGTGTTTTAACACAAGCTAGCACACGGTTGTTGGCCGCCTCTAAAACAATGAATTTTTAAAGAAGGCCCATGTAGAGGAAATGTGTTATAATTTCTGTGGAACTGAAGAGTAAACCAGTACAGCCCATTAACTAAAATGATAAAATAGCCCATTAAACAGCAGCAACTCATAAGAAAAGCTCAAAACCATAAATATATAGGAATATAGAAGATAGACTTGGGAAAGAAGAAAAAAACAGATCTGCTATGCGTGGGGGCTGACATCATATTGCAAAGAAGAACAAAAAAAATTCAACAAGAAGCACTTAAAGACTGATCCATACCTCATCAGCAAAGGTTAGTATCCCAATCTTTTGAATCTACTTTTAAAAAAGTAACAAAAAATAATAGCAACTCAGATCAAAGACTAAGAGAATCTAGATCCATGAAAAAGACATTCAGGATGACAAAGATGGCCTGCTGCTTGTGCTTGCTACAATAGCAGGGCGTGACCCTGGTTGCTCACTGTGCACAAGAAGCAAGTCGAGCATTTGGGGTTGTGATGTGGTCTAAAGGTAGAAACAAGCCTACAGAAAGAAAAAGAAACCAAGACAAAAGTCTGCTAGCTTTTGCACCATCTTACAAAACCACCTATGGTATACATAGAAATAAAGACAAAGTGGTACACAACCACACAAGCATGACAAAAAAACCTTGATGACATGTACCTGCACATACATCATTGTGTAGAACAACGTGTCCTTTTACATCTGCTTTCATTAGACCAACACCATGATCAAGTAGATACTTCACAGTGGATATAACACCTGACTGTGCAGAGGCCACAAACGGTGTTGCACCTGCAAAAGAAAAACATAAAAGTACAATTTATATAACTCACTGTCAGGTGCCAAAGAGTTACACATATGAGAGCATACAATTTACAAAAGCACAAAAAAGCTACAATAAGAGTTATATGTATGAACCTCCACCTGCAGCCATATTTCGATCACACCCTAGTTCCTCAACCAATTATTTGCAGACATACAAATGGCCTTGGCATGCTGCTAGATCATAATTTTCTATGCCAAGTGCTCAATCACCATTTCCTACATATAATTGATGCTCCAGCTTTATACTAATGACATCATTTATTTCTAAATGCTTGTGCTTGCTCCAACAGCAGGGCGTGGCCCTGGTTGCTCACTGTGCACAAGGAGCAGATCCAACACTTGGGGGGTTGTGATGTGGTCTAAAAGGCTAGAAATGCAGAGAGCATAGTGCAAAACAGAGAGCATGAGATCACACACACACATGTAGCGAGCAAAAATCACACACACACACAAATTGAATTTTCTGGGCCAATTTTCTATAAGTAATTCTGCAGCCACACCACTCAGCAATCCTCAACTAAAATTACAAATATATCTGTTATGCATCTGCTATATTCCTATTGTAAATAAATTACAGAACAAAAATAAGGAAAATTGCATATTTGACATAGTGCAACTTGTACTTGTTGCTAATACAATTATACTGTACATGTATACAATTTAAAGATCCGGCTCATGCAAGTATTGCTACTTGTACCACTATCAATTCAACTAGCAGTTTTGATGTGGTGCAGGGACAAAGGTGCCTAGGAATGGCTATAATCTCACATACTGATTCTTTATGATGCTTCAACTTTATCCTAATGATATCATCATTTATTACTAAATGCAGGCAAAGAATAGGGCAAAATTGAGACTGGAGTAGAAAGTATTACAGATCACTGAAACTATGGATAGGCATAACTTTTAGGTAATATAAATGTCAATAATTAAGTTTTGGTTTAGAAAAAATCTATTTTCCATGGACTTACTAGAAATATAGGTGAATCCTCCTAAATTTAGCATTACTAAATGATGTACATCATCTACTGTGGTACCATATACACATGCAAGTGAAAACTCAGAACCAAACTTTGATCTCACAACAGCAGATGGGATAAAGAAGTGGCAAGAAACACTACAATTGATGTACTAGACTAACCAGGTACTAGATTAAAATATTACATCAAATAATCATTTACTCAGTGCAGCTAGACATATGTCAATAAGTATATGTTCAAATAGATGAGGGTGGACAGAATGCATTTGCAAATTCTATGTTGACAAATCTACCAGACATCAGTTACAATGACAGAGATGAGCCCAGTAGGAACACCAATTATGATGCAGAAATACTTACTGGATCTGATGCTAGCCCTTCAAATACCTACAGATACAAAAAGGTGAGCAAGTCATTGCTTAGATTAAAAAACATCAAGATAAAAAGGTTGTTTTTTGAACTAAATTATACTTTAATGCAGGGAGGCTACACTGAATTTATGCTGGAGCAAATTAGGAACTCACAAAAAGATGATCAGACTGACAGAAATAGCCAGGTAAAAATTATACTGCAAGTATACAAAAATTACAGTGCACACATGTGCAAATTACACCAATATATGCGATGTAAATTCAACATAATAGGAGTGTAATTTTCAATGCTTCATTATAAACTGTGCAGCTACATGAAGGGATGCAAAGAACATTGACACAAATGATAATTAGAAATAACATGACTGAGGTAAAATTGTATATGCTTGTCAATCTACTTGTGTTATATTTTTGGTAAATAATAACCATTGTCATTAACAAACAAATAACACAGAATATGAGCCATGAGAATTTAGATGGAATCTTTGGACCATAAACTAAGTGGTCAATATCAGAGTCAAGAATACCATATGAGGTATATACAGACAGCTAAGCAATTTGATAATATTTATAAGCAATACAAATATGTACTGGCATCAAAAGTAAACTTATCTTTGCAAAAACAGGATAGATAAATGGCAAGCATGGCTGCTGATAATAGATCTAAAATTGAACAATATCATTGGCAAACTAATGTATTCAATAACATAGAAATTGATGAGGTACATAAAAAATGATCTCTTCAACTATTTCAGTCTACAGTGAAAAAATATTTGTATTATAAATGCTGTTACTCAGAAACTAAGACTACTGCTAATATATTTACAGGCACAACAAGAACATCAAGATGATCAACCAACAAGGGGAGAAAATGACTTGAGAATCATAGCAGCAGAACCGACAAGTTCAGATATTACATCAACAGTAACAAATGATAATGAACATGTAAATGGCAGCTAGGAACTGACGAAGGAAGAGATTGAAGAATTCATAAAAATGAGCAGGTTGCATCATCTGAAGGCAACAATGCACCAATTAACAACAAGTACACCCCACAGCTATCAATGGTATTTAAGACTAGGCATGATGCTCACCATTTCTTCAACTTCTATGCATTCCTAGCCATATTTGAAGTTGTCATAATGCATACAACAAGAACTACAAGAAAAGAAATAATGAGATAGTAAAAGTGACAATGAGATGCAATCGTTAAGGAAAAAAATGCACCAAAGTCTTTAGAGCAAGAAGCAGCAGAAATAGACAAGGATATTGTGTCACACCCCAAAATTTCTGATTTTGTGTTGTGCACAAAAAACACTAAATAAAATGAAAGGTTTTAATATTTAGATAAAATTTACCAAGTTTGAACTAGCACAAATTTAGTTATAGGAAAAATGTGAATTTTTAAAGTTTTCTAATTTTGACAGGCGTTTGGATGATGTCAAGTTTGCTTATTGCTTGACTTGGTGTTGTGAGTAAGTAAAATTTTGAAAAACATATTTAGTAAGTCTTTATCTTTCTTCGTCATGTCTCTATGTTTTTCCGTAATCAAATCCCTGCTCTCTTGATCCTAATCTTATCATTTGGAGATTCTCAAGGTGTACTATTCCTAGTTGCTTTTATTTGTTGCTTATATGTTTTTCTATGTGTGGTGCTTGCTACAAGTAGAACAAGAACCGTTTATGAGCGCTGAAGATTAGGTACTGCAGTTTAGTAACCCTGAGTTTTCTAGAAAATGAGGGACGAAAGGCAATTCACTAGACCTGCAGCTTACTAAATTATAGAAAAGCAGCACTAACAGCACACAAATCACAATAAAGAAAGTTCAAATATGTGTTAGCACAAATCAAAATAAACAATTTTTTCTATGAAAGGACAATGACAAATAAGAGGTGTGGGCTGACACAAATCACAATTATCAGATTTCGAGATGTGTTAGCACAAATCATAGGAGATAATTTTTTTCTATAAAAGGACAAGGACAAATAAGAGGTTTGCGTAGACACAAATCATAATTAACAAAGTTCAAGATATGTTAGCACAAATCACAAAAGATAATTTTTCTATGAAAGAACAAGGACAAATAAGAGGTGTGGGTAGACACAAATCACAACTTACAAAGTTCAAGATGTGAAAACAAACACAGGAGACATTTTTTTCTATGAAAGAACAAGGACAAAAACTTGGTGTGGGTAGGCACAAATCAAAACAAACAGAGATTACTAAAAAGTCCAACTCTGAAACTATCAACTTACAAACTGAAAAATAATAGAACATCAACTTGCTAAGAGCTCAATCGTTGTTTCTAAGAAATGCTAAAGAGTAAGACCAATTACTCAGAACATGAATTACTGGCCTGCCTAAAAACAGCCAAATGCTTCAACTCACAAACCGAAAAACAGGTACAAGATAACAGATAGAATTAAATTTTCTTCAAAGACCAAAGCTGTGACAAGAGAACTCATAAACAACCTACAACTAATGCCAAGGTAACTCATCAACCTGATAACTACCTGCAGGTCATCAAGTAATACCCATATAATCTAACAAGGATCTTAAACCAAAAAATCTACCAAGGGAAACAAGTAGATCAACCAAAACAAATCATCTTACAAAAATTAAAACTCCAGATCAGTACCAAATCCCTGCTCCAACCATAGAACCAGTTGCATCCATCCCCAAACACAGCAGTGCAAAGCAAAGGATGCAAAAGGAGCGAACCTTGCAGCCTGATGGAATTGCCACTCAGCAGTGCAAAGCAACACGGGCAAGAAAACGATGAGGAAATGTAACGGCCACAGAAACCAGGCGCGACTACCAATTTTAAACAGCAGAACTAAGAGTGCAACCTGCACCTCAAAGGAAGAAAAGCAACTGAAACAAAACCAATTGAATAGAAACTGTGGATTGAAAAGATTACATCTTCAAAGGTACTATTGCAATACTCGCACAGACACTAGAATGCATATCAAGAGCTGACCAAAAACTAATGTAATCCTGCACTAGAAGGACACTATAGAGCAATGCAAATATCAGATCACATATGCCAGATTCTTCACGACAAAAAACATTTCTATGGAATACAGATCTCAGAAAACATGCCATACATTTCTCAAAAAAAATTCTATGGATTGGAAAAGACACCACAATTACCACATTTTACAGAAACAAAAATTGCAAATGTTTTCTATGCGGTCCAAATCTCAAATAAAATTATAGCAAATTATTCACAAAAGTTATAAATTTTAGAAACATTTTAGAACCTTTAAAAACACTAATAATCAATGGTAACACAACAAAATATTAGATACTTAGACTAGTTCATGAGAATCTATAGCCAATCCAAGCAGTCATATCTGGTTATTGAAATAGTCATTTGAAACAGCTATTTGACACATAAACAACCAATTCAATCAGCTATATATGATTGACCAAAAATAGCATTTTGGAAATCTATTTATTGATACCAAAATAGACAACTCAGTCTATACATAAACACCAGAAATTATTACCTTCTCTGCAGAAGCATCGTCAGAAGTTGTCTCACGACTTACTTTATATTTTCCTTCCACGTTTCTTCCCCTTCTATAATGGCACGAGAACAGGCCAAACAATACAGTTCATGGTGCCAAACATACTAAGAAAAATAAAAAGATATTACGAATTACAAAACAATAATGAAAAAATTGCACATTTCAACTAGTGCAATTTCTAGTATTGAAAAAATGCAATATTAGATCTTTGTAAGCTTACTTGCAAAATCAGATCCTTCATAAGTAAATAGGGCGGCATTTCTCCGTCTAATACAAACCTGATAGTAGCTGGCACCTGAAATTAACAACAAAATAGATCAAAACACTGGATTCTTTTTCTAGAGTTGACTCAATCGTAACCACAGTATATGACAATGTGATAAGATCATGCACAAAACAGAAAAACTGAGAGGATAGAGCTGTTTTGCACAAATTCCATCGCAAACAGATCACATGATAAGAAAAATAGTCTTGTGAAGCCCCATCTTACAATAGATGCATAAATAATGATGAGAGTGAGAGAGGATAGAGCTCTGGTTGTCCTCTGGCTAGCTACTGCTGCTAGGGTAGGGAGATGGAGAGAGACTGAGACAGAGTGTGTGTGTGTGGGTGGGAAGAGAGCCAGCCAGCGGTCTAGGTCTAGGCCAGCAGTGGCCTGACCCACACACGAGAGAGAATATTTGAAGGGAGGAGGAGCTGAGTTTGTGGGGTCTGTGTTGCCACAAATCACAATTTTTCAACATCATATATATGGTTCATTGTTTAGAGAAATGTGCATATAGAAAAGCCCACTAGTGCATGATCAAACAACATCTATATGTTATGTGGTGCCATTGAGGCCTATATCTCTAGGCGTACCATAGCACACAAGATGAGGAAAAACACATCAGGTTTTTTCCTGTTGTGCCCTAAAAATCCCTAAAAATCCAGAAATGCTTCCTAAATTTTCTGATATATACTAAGGCAAAATTGTATTCTATACTCAAATCAGCTTCATTTAGAACTACACCAGAGGCCCTAGACTACATAAAAGATTGAGTATGGAATGGAGTTGTTCTATACCGGGTTCTTCACAACCTTGGCCATCTTGCGGAATCCCTTGCGCATGACAAATTTGTCATAGAGGCTAGCAGCAAGGAGCTTAGATTGTGGGGTCTATATTGGCACAAATCACAATAAAATAGAATCACAAAAATATGGTGTGTGCCGGTACAAATCACAATTAACAAGAAATGCTCTTATTTTTAGACTACAGTCAATGTCACTCAAATGGCCGAAAAATTATTAGCTAAAGTAATTGCAATTTGGATACATAATTAGATAGAAACCAATTTCAATCCACCCAAGATCAACATAGGAAAAACATACATAATTAGACAGAAACCAATTTTAATCCACCCAACTGACAAATGATGGACAGTTGACAGTGCAGATTTATCAGATCTATCTAACATTATACTGAAGAATCCATATGCATAAATCATATAGTGATCAATCGAGTTTGGTTATTAGTAATGTGACTATATGACTATATATAATTATATATCATTTGATCATATACATGAAAATTACAATTATAGTCAACAAGCTCAGTCAAATAAATATTGTCAACTGTGAGATTACCATGAAACTACCATTAAATATTTAAATCACAATGGTAACTGAACTTCACCTCAACAAGCTGATATCAGAAAAGTAGGAACCACCAAAATGGACCAAGCAATTAAAACTTTAAAAGATATGTGCTCACTATTTTGTGTGTTTCATGATGGATTGTCCTATTTTACAGTTTGCAAGAAATGCTTGAAAGAGCATTGCGGTGATTAAACTGATATTTACCTGACAATCTGATGATTATAAATTTTTCATTTCCAAAGATAATGCCAAAAAAAAAAAGGTAAAACATTGATCTTCTAAGTATAAAGCATTCAACAATCTAATCCAAAACTTTGCATGATAGTAGCTAGCTTTATACTTATCCATATGGTGCTGGTAGCTTTCAATGTATCACAATCAACTACTTATAACATTGATGAACCAGGTTGGATCTCAGTGCCATACAGCTATGCTATTTCAGAAATGTCCAAATTACAGAGCTGATTATATACACTTACACTCATTTCAGACTCTAGAATACACTGAGACCATATTCGTAAACAAGTATCAATAAGCTATATGGAATACCTCCATTCTTCTAATACCAAAGTTGAAATACAAGTATCAGTTTGATTACAACAGATATTTGTGTTTTTACCCCCTATTCTAATTACACATACATGGCAACACACTACAAATTAAAACACCTCTGCCTATAAAATGGAGTGACAACCATCTCCTAGCAATGGGGTGACAAGACTCAGTTATGAAATGAAAACAAATTTACAGAATCAGAGCTTCTGTAAATTTATAGAATCAGAGCTTAATTCATGAAATAATACAAGGAGAATTTAATCAACTCCTAGTAGACAATAACAGATACAAGAACAGCTTTCTTTTGCATAAAGAGTGAATATAGCATGTCAATGTCATCATATGCATTTAAGTCATACAGTTTCATTAGTTCAGGAAAAATAATTACCTTTCCCACTGTTAAGCCTATTTGCCGATAGGTTCTATCTATCTATGCCAGAATTGTTGGATACAAACCTACAGTACTACAGCTCACCAGTTAAGAGGCATATTAGCTCCTACAACATTAGTAGGAAACACCAATATCTGCCTAGGTGAAAGGTTGCAACATTCAGTACTCTCATCACAAACTGAATTCAACATCCAGTCAAAATGTTCAGTGAACTCCAGATGCACGCCATCACCTGCCCTGCTGCCCGGCTGCCCCTACATCTGAAGCCTGGCTTCTCAAGCTACTGTTCCTAGCCTCATAGAAAAGACCAGAAGCATTGGCGGGCTCTCCGTATGGCTTAGTAGCTGCCCTCACTGATTGATCTTACAAGTTACAGCAACAACAACCATAGATCAAATATGCCTCTATGTGTTTCCTGCTACGAGGAAGAACAGGATAGAATAGAAAGACATAACAAATCAAAGGAAATAATGCATGCATGCCCGCTTCTCTGCTACTACTACAAGTGTTCCTTCGACACGGCGGCAGAGTTCGTCGAAACCAGACAAACCGCCGCTGCAGCTCGCCTCGCGCCGCGAACCGCCGCTCCCGACGCTGCAGCTCACCCAGCGCTCGCCGCCAGCTGCAGCTCAGCTCGCCCTGCGGCTACCTGTCGCTGTCACTGCATGCTAGCTCACCCAGCAAGGCTCTCGTCGTCCCGCAGCCACAGCGCCACTCACCGTTCCGCCGCTGCAGTGCGCCCCCATGCGCTCTCGCCGTCCCGCCGCAACGCCCCACACGCATCGCTGGGCCTCAGGAAACAGAGGAACATAGATCTACAATAAGTGGGCAAGGAGGACGAGAGCGACGACGAACTCAAGGGAGAAAGCGGCGAACTTCCGTACCTCCAGAACTCGAGCAATGGCAGACGGGAGGGAGGCGACGCGCAGAGACGGAGAGGCGCGCGGCTCGCCGCGACGTCGAGACAATCGCCGGCCGCCAGGACGAACCCCTTTCCCCTCTCGCCGGGACGATGGGGGAAGTGAGACAGCCGGAAACCGATAGGCGCGACTTCCGATTTGAAGCAGTAACGCCAACGCCAGAGTGGGCCCCACACGTCAGCGTCCACAAAGCAACCAACACCAAATCGGAACAAACTAGACATCTGATGGATAGAAAATTCGTGTCAACAAACAACAAAACATATGGGTGTCCTATAGCATTTCCGATGCTAAAATGTGTAACTTGTGATTCTTATGTCTTCTAAGTCCAAAAATTTGGTACTACTAAGTAATGATTCTCTTGGGTACGATACCTCTTTACGGACGGTAAACGATTTTATGAATGAGATGCTCTGTAATTTTGTCTTGGGTCGCTTCAAAATCCATTAAATGCAAGGTGATTCATCTTTCTTGGGGGATATCTTGTGCAAATATCCCATGATAATTATAGGATATGGTTTCAAATATCATGATTTTTTACATCGTTTGATCAAGCGCCCCCCCTCTCTTTCCCCCCCCCCACCCCCCAAAAAAAATCTGAATTTTGGTGGATTTAGATTTCGTGGAGCTAAGACATTTGCCTTGGAAATGTGAATCTAGAGTTGTTTTTTCGTAGATGTAGAGCGGCTAGAGCTCTCTCAAACATACCTTATTATTGTTAGCCAAAAGGCAACCACTCGTAGAATTTTGAGCTTTTTAATTCCACTATCTCATTAGATGATTAGAATTGTTAGGACTAAAGCAACCACTCGTGGAACTTAACTTTTTATATATACAAAAGTACAAAACATACAGCTCCACCAAGGAACATGAATATTACACCGAGGCACACTATTGTGATTCTCATCATAGCAATGCTAACAGAAAGATAAAGCTGTACGTAAATAACATACCAAGCATCCTCCGAAGGAATTGACAAGCAAAATTGGAGCCAACACCTATTGTAAGACGGCTCCTTGTCTCCGGAGGCAAGTGGGTCTTGAAAGCTCCTTTCCATCCCAGTCGCCTCTTAATCGGCATGAACAGGAACCACAGCTGCCAGCTAGAAGGGTTGCGAAGCAAGAGCGTCATGAACGTAGACATGCAGACCACAATGGCAATCCGCTCGCTGACAGGGCTCAAGACGACATATGCGCCCAATGCGAATCCTATAACCATACTTCTCGTTGCCTGCTCCATCGAAATTACAGAGAGGAACATGTAGATTGCACGAAGCAGTGGATGGACGTGTTCTGACCCAGCATAGGTGAGCCAGATGGTGGACAACGTGGAGCCGACAAATGCGAGTGTGTTTGCCATCACGAACGCCTTGAAGGTATACCTGTGCGACAGAATTGGTGCACCGGCGTGTGGATGCCCATCCGATATGTAGCCACCAGGCAGAGTGAAAACTGCTGCAAACGTGACCGTTGAGACAAGGACAGACCCAACAATTAAGTTCTGTGCAATGTTGGTGAATTTCTTGAGCTCGTTTCCAGAAGTTCTGCCAACGCCAAATTCATCTATGAAATGATCGAGGCGACGAGGACTAAGGGCAGCTCCAGTCCATGCCAAACAGCGGAGTATGATGACCTGAGGATTCTACCAGAAGAAAATCAACATTTCAGGAAATCAAACTATACAAGTTAAAAACTGAAATAAATTTAAAATCGACCGAGAACATGAATTAGAAGATGCAAAGAAGAATGCAGTCCTAGGAGATTAGGTGAAGCTTACCAGTGTATAACTTATGCCTTTGTCAGTTGCCAGTACAGCAAGATCTAAGGCAGTGAAGCCCTGGTTGTTCACTGTATTTGGCAGTACACCTTTTGTCGCCATAAGAAGGCTCACTATCATCTGGTCTGCATTCTTGACTGCAAGATGCAGAGGTGTGTTACCTTCTGAATCCATGACATTCGCCATCCTTCCAAGATCTTCAGTACCAGAGAAACACCAAACAACTTTCCATTTCTTATGCTCAATAGCAATATGTAGGAAATTTCTTCCTCTACTGTCAAGCAATTCGTCACAATCTGGGCAGAATCTACAGAGCTCGTAGATGAATTGTCCGTATCCCATTTTAGCAGCAATATGTACAGGAAATAAACCATTTGAATCTGAGCTGTAGGCTAGAGAACTGTCACGACGCAATAAGAGCTTCATTGCGGAAATATTTCCAACAGATGCAATGTAGTGAAAAGGAGTACTGCCTGAGTCATCAACTTCTTTCACAAGAGCTTGGTTCCACTGCAGCAATTCCCGTATCATTTCTGTTATGAAAGAACTTCAGTAAATAGAAAGTATAAGACCTGAAACACTATCACTCTTAAGAAAAAAAAATATGCACTCCCTATGGTCTTATAATAAGGATTGAATGAAGGCCCATGATCTGGCAGGCCTTTTTTCTATAAAGCTTTATGGACCTCAAGGTACATCATCTAGCACTTGAGGGCCAAATCTTACCTAATATTTCTTAAATACAGATGAAAAACAGAAATAACAGAGAAGTGAATTTAACCAGAACATGTGCTAGGGTGTCAAGTCATCAAATTCCACCTAAGCTCAAATGAGGGCAGATTTTTCTAACTCTCCTGATGCATGTCCAACAAAATTCTAACCCCAACGCCATTGGTCACTCAGCGCCATTGATGATGTTAAGTCTTTAACCTAATTAACACTTCATGCAAATAGTTGAAGCAGGCATAGATAGGCCAGATAAGATGCTGCACTTTATCACCGCGGCCTATCAGAATTAGAAGGTATGCATTATTCCCATATGATTAATTCAAGTACACCTTTTCCCACATAATATTAGTAATAATTATTTGTTTTGAGCTTTTACAAAAGAAACATATTTCATACATGTCCACAAAACCAACCTAGTAATTAAGGCAGTAAAGGTGCCCAGTAAAGAAGAGAAGCACAAAAGCAAAAGTAATTGATCAAATATGTCATCAATTTATATGGGGCTAACCCTAGGAGTCATCTTACAAGGAGCCCACTGTGCAAATTAAACAACAAGCCTTGCTTGTAGAGAGGTTTTAATAATATTGGACAGAGTGATGTTATCACCTAATAATATTGGACTAAAAGGCTTTGTTGTTGGATAGATTGCTATAAGTCATTTTTTATCAAAAATAAATAAATTCATACTCATGCCTCATATTCAAATATATACCCTCCATTCCAAATTATAATAAGTCGTTATGGCTTTTATAGATGCATACCTTTTATTATGTATCTAGACACAGCCTATATCTAGTGCATAGCAAAAACAATGTGCCTAGAGAGGCTAGAATGACTTATAATTTAGAACGGAGGGAGTAACTAGATATATTTCAAGATTTACACAAATATTTTTTTTATTTACACAATTTTCTTTCGGGACTTTAAATCTAAATTGCAAGAGACCTAACAATAACGTCATCATGAAAACTATATTTGATACATTATGATTAGTTTTCGACACAACTGGTTTATGTTTTCTAAGGTGCAATTAAGTGTTATATTACTTTTGTCAAGTTACTTTTTCTCAATAGAACCACCCGCAATTTACTACAGAGTAGCACTACTTAAACCGTAGTCCCGCTATGTCCATGATTACACATATTCATTTCAGCAAGATTCTTGACTTGTACCTTCCTTTCTCTTTTGTGTCATGATTCACATGTGGGACAGTAGGAGTAATATAAAATTGGGTGCCCTGGCTATTTGACGAGTCCCAACCGCTCACCCAAAAACCAATTATTCGATCAAACACTAAATGTGTTGTAACACCCTCGGTGTTACACTGTACAGTTTTTGCTAAAACACTGCATGAGCATCATACTTATGTGTAATTGTGTGTAATATAAGATGTAAAGCAATATACGGAACTTGAAACGTTCAATTGAAACACGAAACGAATGTTACATTTCATGTCGCGTTGTATTACTTAGGGTCCTAAATGAATTTTTATTGAACGAAAATGTTATAGAACGCATATACGAAGCTTTGGTAAAGTTTGTAGCATGAGCTTCGTAGGCGACGATGAAATACTTGCGGTCGAGAATGGGATTCGCTAGCTAGCATACTTGATAGCTTGGAAATTGAATTCGACGCGAATCCGAACGAAAACTTAGTCATTTCCTTAAGTTGGGAAAACGGATCGACGAAGCAAAGTTTGGGAATTTTTATAGGAGGATCGGGTTAAGTGGTGGCATGGGTTTAGGGTTTGTTTTAGTAGCTTGACATGCCATCTTGAGCGTAAAATAGTTGGTTTAGCGATCGAAGCCTTGAGGTGAGTTTTTGGGACGCTTTAAAAAGCGTGCATGACACGGTTGTCGCGTATGCAGGCGGATCACCGTGCGGCACTTCGGCGTCACCACCGCGCTACTACTACCGACGCGCATGCCGCCGCACCACCGCTACTGCTTGCCGTTGCGTGCCACGGCCTTTCGCCACCACCACCGCCGTCGTCGCGGGTCCGGCTGTCTGGTCGAGATGCCGCCGCGCTGCGCTGCAAATGTCGCTACCCGCGTTGAGTCGCGTCACGCGCTACGGCAAGCCTGGCCGCTCTGCCACCGACGTCGCGTCCGCCTGGTGCCTCGCTGCTGCACCGTGTCGCTGCCCGCGTTGAGTCGCGTCACGTGCGGTGTCGTGAGCGCGTGGCCACGCTTGGCTCTGCCCGCACGTTGCCTTGCCGCGCGTGGGATTGCCGCCTGCTCTTACCATCACTTCGGCTTGTCAACGCTGCGCTGTTGCCTCCCCCGGGCGCCGTCCACTGCAGCGCAGTACCGAGCCGTCGTCGGCTTGCGGGTTATGGCATTGCGGCCAAACGTCTTGTGCACGTCTCGTTGTTCCCCTTCGCCCGTGCGCGCTTGTGCTTGGAGTTGACGGCCACGTCCCGCCACGACAGCGCCGAGCCAACCTTGCCTACTTTCCCTGTTCCTCGGTCGCCATGTCGTCGGACCCGCTCCCTTTCAATTCACCATGGTGGAGGCACCGCAACCCAATTAACCCCGTCCGCAACTCCGTCGTGTAGCCCGCCAAGTCCCCGACCCCATCTTGCAGCGAGCCTCGCCGTGCCGTGCTCCAATTTGGGGCTACCGCTCCACCGGGTCAATAAGACCGGGTTGGCATACGCCGACGGCAAGCCACCTATCCAGAGCAGCTCGTGTCAATTCCTTGCAACGCTAGCTTTGCCTCCACCTGCTAATCACCCTACGCACCTCTGCCGAAGCGCTACCGCCGCCTAGCCTCCCCTGACGCAGCCATGCCATCACCGTGCGCCATCGCACCGTCCGTGCGGACGTGGCCCGCTCGGCTCGGGCCGTCTCCGGTCGAACCACTGCCTCGATTGGTTCCATGGTTAGTTACTTGAGCTCACTAGCTACCCCATTTTCTCCGGCTTTGTTGTCACTAACCGGAACGCCACCGCCGTGGTTGCAGGATCTCCGCCACCATGGTCCGACCTCGCTGCAGCGACCCAGCTCGCGTTTCCTTCGCCCAGCGCTTCGCGTTCACTCCTAGGTAAGTGTCGGCCCCGTAGTTAGGGCGGGGAAGGGTTGGGCTCGCCGGCGTAACCACCGGTGCCAGCGCCGCCACGCCGGCGAGCGCGCGGGTGCCCGGGGGACTCGGCCGTGGTAAAGAAGAAAAAGGGGAGGATCATATTCGTAAGATAGCTCACTGAAGAAATAGTATGGTGGACCTTGGTTACATTCGGTAGGAGAAGGAGGACGTTTTAGCAAATGTTCCGGCAAGCTGCGAACCTTCCCGTTCTTCCCCATCGTCGTCCAGTCGAGCCACGCTCGGTGGGCAGCATGCGCTACGCATGGTAATGGCGCGCCATGATTAATGGGCCGTGGTTTGAATTCAGTTTTCATTTTCCAGTAAATTCGTAAAGGTTTATTCAATTCAATTTTTAGCTGATCTTTGAAAAATTATAGTAAATGTTGTAGATGTCCAAAAATAGTGAAACAAATTTTGCTAGGTTCACAAAAATGCCATCTATCTGCTGGTGTAGTTAGTTTACAGTTAATTGTGATAATGATAGGTTCATAAATTCAATTTAGAAAGCTTAGTGTTATGTAGCTTAATATTTGTAGGAATTTTTGTGGCAAATTGATGATAGCTTTAGCCATAAAAATTTTACAGCATGTTCATTAGATTATCATGTACTCACTGTAATTTTTGTAGCCCTAGAGTAGGTTGATAAATAGAGTAGCTATTACCCTTGTTTTATCATATATAGAGTAAATCGGTATTAAGAGTAAGAATACCTTTAGTTGCTAAGATAAGATATGTCATGCTGCGTACTTGTTAGTGGTAACAGTAGGTAACTTAGTACCTTGGTCGGTAGCACTAGCTTAGTTGTTTGATAGATGTATTTTTATTTTAAGAACTGTTGTTGCCATATTATTAAAGTGTTGCATCATCATTTCATGCATGTAGATCACGAGTTGGTAGAGTTCGTGCCCGTGGACGAACAGAATTACGAAGAGGTCATTGAGAAGTACGAGGAGGAGATTCTCGTGCAGGAGGGAGCCCCGGAGCCTTTTGGTGCTGACTCTACTGACCCACCGCCTGCCCAAGGCAAGCCTCGGTGCATAACCCCTATTTTTAATTATCACTGAATATATATGATGTGCATTTACGTTACATGTATTTTATGAAAACTACATGCATAAATTCATCTACCTATGAGTTCTACTAGTACAAGTCGAGTAGCTGCTATGCTCAGGATTTTGGTAGCGCGAGTAACCTGCCGGTACTCGCAATAGGTGATAATTATGATCACTCATGATGAAATGGTGGAAATGAAAAGTGGTGATCGGGCAGGGATATGGTTTGGGTACTGGTGGGTGTAAGAGGTTGTGTCCTACGACCAATAGGGCATAGCTTGATTACACTTTTTCTCTGTTTGTGTCAATTAAGGAACGGTCGTTGTATAAGACTCTAGGCAAGTCACAGACTTATTATGCCGGGCACATACTTGGGTATGGGCGCAGGGAAGACTCGTTGCTCTCTTGTCGTGGATCCGGCTCTTTCCAGACCGACTGATTGGAGGCGGGGATGGTGGAGGTCATTGCATGGCACTGAGTCCGAGACTCAGGAGTGGGGGCTTGAAGTCCAAGTTTGGACGGAGGCCTGGACACCAAAGACAAGAGGGTGATGGGTTAGTCCTACTTGTGCCTAGGGTACAAGCGGGGCGTGTGTTTTCGGAGTACCCAGCTGGGGGCATTGATTCGTGAATCGCCGGCGTTCCGGTACGGCTTGTCTACGGTTTAGCATCGTAGTAAGAACTGAAAGATGGAAGGTGATGAAATAGAACTGATTGCTCAACTCTTGCTGGAAAATAGAACAGGTGCTTACATAGACTGGCTAGCTGATAAATTAATACGGCTATTAATAATAACATACGTAATGACTCACTATTAGTACTGCTTTCTGCAAAAAGAAAACCAGCAAACCATAAAGCTTCTCATATCCCTTGGAGTCGGGGAATTATCTCTACTAGTCGGATAAGTCTTGCGAGTACATTGTGTACTCAGGGTTTATTTACCCCTGTTGCAGGTAATGCTTGAGGAGTACCATTGTGTGGAGGATTCTTCTGGTGGGCACAGACGGATCCTCATTCTTTATCGCTAGATTCTTATTTTTAATTCCGCTGTTTAATATTCCGCACTCTAACTTGGAAATGTAATAATGTACTTTTTATGAACTATGGATGTATGAAATGGATTAAGTATTGTAACTCGTTCTCATTATTCGATCCTCGGGGAAAAATGTGGATCTTTTGGGTTCTCCCTTGGGGTGTGTCCGACGGATACCGCTCGTTGTAGCTTGCTTTCGGGGTGCTTAACGTCTGGTGGAAGACAAGCACCTCCGTAAGTGTGCTATTTCGGACGAGTTCTGCCACATATGCATCCCCACATAGTCTGATTCACAGCACACTAATCACTCTGTTGTCAAGACAACCCAAACAAAAATCGCTATCACTACATTACAGGTTGCAGCAATTTCAAATTTTGAGTTTAGATAATGTACACTAACGTTCATAATACAGTGAACATGAGTCATCACATCAAACAGAGACTCAAATCGTCCAACTCATACTCCATTCACTTGCTTTAGAAGAAGTGGCATCCTCGCTTTAACAAAGTAAGATCTGAACTGCTAAATTCCATACAATCCAACCACAGTATAGTCCAATCATTCTACCCAAAGAAGCATTTCCAGATTTTTCACAAGCTTCCCACGGTACATCAAACCCCCAAACATAGCAAACTAGAATAACTAAATCTGACAACCTAGATATTAAATACACTCCAAATTGCTCATTAATTCATCACGAACATAGCACCATAAACTAGCAGTCAGGAGGGACTCACCATTGCTCGTGAGCACAGCGGCGTGCATCACGGTACGGCCGCCCGGACCCATGCTCGAACCTAGTCCGGGCACCTCCTCCTCCTCCTCCGCGTCCCTATATGTCTTTAAGAGCACGCGCACCATCCCCAGGGACCCGGCCGCCGCCGCCAAGTAAAACGGCGACTCCCCAGCGCCGCCGCACAGCCCCACGAGCCCCGGGTCCGCGGCGGCCAGCGCGCGCGCCACGGCCTCGTGGCCGCCCCGCACGGCGTCGTGCAGCGCCGTCTCCCCGCGCCGGTTCGTGGCCCGGGTCAGGGCGCGCAGGGAGCACGCGGGGGAGGACGAGGACGTGGACGAGGAGGTGACGAGGAGCGCGACGACCTTGTGCGCCCCCGCGCGCGCGGCGAGGTGGAGCGGGGTGTCGAGCGCGGCGTTGCGCGCCGCGAGGAGGCGCGGGGCGCGGCGGAGGAGGAGCGACGCGAGGTCCGCGTGCCCGCCCGCGGCAGCCACGTGGAGGAGAGTGTTCCCTCCGGCTGTGGCCGCGGTCTCGAGGTATGGGGCCGCCGGGTCGGCCAGGAGCGCCTTGACGAGCCGCCGCTCGTCGCCGCTGCGCGCCGCGCGGAGAAGCGTGGCGCCCATGGTCGGCGGTGTGGTTGCCAGCGGGCGCGGGGTCGGGCAGGGGGACGCGCTGGTGGTGGGCGTGGACGGCGGTGATGTCTCCGTCGCCTCCGGCGAGGCCATCGTGTGGCTCGTGCGGGCGGGCGTCGGTGGTGGTCTGGTGGAGCAGGGGAAAGGTAGTGTATCATTTGGACTTATTTATGCCTCTGATGACTTGTGAACTGCAGACCTGTGCTGTGAACTGTGAAGTGTATTTGCTTTTCGGTCCTCGTTGATGTTCATAATTATGGCTAAAGTCCAATCTCTTGTTCTTTGCTTACATGGAACAAAACGGTCCAATTTCTTGCTCTTGACTTTATATGGAACAAGGTAGAATAGGAGAATGTGATAGGTTGCTAGTTTCGGAGAAAACATGCTTTTTACTACCAGTATTTCCATTGCTCCAAATTATAAGTCATTCTAACTTGGAGATTTAAAATATCTCAAGTTTGACCAAATTTATATAATAAAGTAATAACATTTATGATACCAAACAAGTATCATTAGTTTTTTCATTAATTATATTTTTATAATATATAGTATACCTATTTAATGTCATGAATTTTGTAATTCTCTCTATAATTTTGGTCAAACTTGAGATGTTTTAATTCTCCAAAAGTTTAAATGACTTGTAATTTAGAATGGAGGGAGTATTAGCTAAGTGAATGTCGAGTTAATTTAAGGCCAAAATTTTCTATTCCTCAGCTTCTTCTATGAAAATAAACTGATTTTATTGAAATTTTGACGAACCAAAGATGCTCTTAATATTTATTTTATTTGGAGTACAACAAGATATATATGTATTTGGCACCTCTACATGAAAATGAACGGTGGAAATAGGAAAACATATACTCTCTAGGATATGAAGGCCTTGTTCAAAGCGCAATAAACTTTCACTTTTCTGACAACAAATTGCAAAACATTTATAAGTCAAGCCCCAATTTGTTTATAAGTATACTAATTCATGTGAATGAACGCACACATTTGACATTCCTAATTGATGTATGAAGATCTCCAGCAGACTAGATTGACGTATCTTGAGATTGTCGAGCTCATACGCTATAATTGAATTGATTTGTTTTATGTAACTACTATTTATTTATGATCAATTTGACTTTTCTGTTACACTTAAATTTATAGTTGTTTGTACAAAGAAATGGTGTATTCATTATGGTCCATAGTTTATCTCAGAAAATAACTAGAGTTTAGATGAAGATTTTTTATGTAAATGTTTTGTTCACAGGTCATACACTTATTTTAGAAATTTAAATGCAGAAAAAATATGAAATCCATGTTTCCATATTAGTTAGCCAAATATCGAAGCTGCTAAAAGAAACCGCAGCAAAACAAGATTACAGATTACCACAATCCCCCTCTTGATAAACAGGGCGAGTGCCCAATTGTTAATTAAGAGCTACTTCTCACTATACCACAGCCTATCTTTAGCGTTGCCCCATGGGTTGTTAAAAGCCGTTTCAGCGACATACGGTCGGTTGTTATATCTCTTTAACAACCCTTGCATGTGTCGTTTGTACTGGGTCCTTATAAATCTTTAACGACCGACCGACCGACTTTTAACGACCAACCATTGGACGCTGTGTACGCTATCTAACGTCTATTATAAGCTTATACCGACCCACTGTCTAATGATATATATTTATAGTGACCAACTGTCTGATGCTAGCATAACATGAACTAATTAATCTTACAATAACCATATAGCATCATCCATTTTAACATTATCCATCTAAACTGATGTTGAGCATCAAACACAGAACCGACTAAACCATGCTCACAATTTCCATTGAAGTCATCAACATTTGTACTTGTACAATGTTTTATACAAAATACTCACAACCAAGCTAGATCAAAGTATCTACACAAAATATAACCATGCTCACAATCCCTAGCCATTGTCTACACAGCCACAGCCACACAGGGCTCAGGCGCATGCCCTTTAGGCTTTAGCATCCCAATGATGCCATCACTTGTGTGTACTACTATATAATCCTACCATTTGACAGTGGGGTTAGATTATGGTTTCTCGTAGTACACATGGACAGGGTCTTCAACGGACATGTCTTTATTATAAAAAGAAGAATAAAACCGGTGAGTGTGCTTTTGGGAATTGGAGGTCGATGTATATACTTAATTGTTGCCGAACGAGACCGGGACGTCTTTGTATAAATAAATGGACCTAGCGAGGCATACGATTCCAACAGTGTCGGAGACGCGTTCTGCTCACACCAGACAGCCACCGATTACGCCGGTGTGAGCCACCCAGCAGCGTGCAACGATGCGGTGTGAGCACAAAGCATAGCCCTCAAATACAGACTACTTTCTCTACTGTATCATATCATATAATAAAAAGAACAGAACGCTTTTCATGGATAACTTGAAAGCAGATGCCCCTGTGATTTGGACTAGTAGTACACCAGGAATATGGAATTTTTGGTGTTTTGGACCGTGCGTGATGCCGACAAGAATACGGCCGCCGGCCGGAGCGCGGAGCGCGCAGCAACGACTCGCCACCAGCGGACAGCTCAAAAAAGCCGAAGACCACGTGGTTTTGTTCTCCGGCTCCGCACACGGTAGCGTGCTTTCCATTCCATACATTTTTTGACCACCCGCACCTGCGCCTGCACGGGGGAGGGGGAGACGCCAATCATTTTGTCCACCGAGGGGCTGGGGTTGCGCGCTGGCACCAGCACCACCGAGCGAGCGTAGGGTAAAAAAGGGTAGTGGTGTGGGTGGGGGCCGAACCGACAGGCTCTGTTGCGCTCAGCCGCTCAGGATGAGGATGACCATGAATCCACGATGCTGCTGCCATGCTGGTCCGATGCCGGCCGGCCGCGGCAGGCGCGCGCTGCCGGCCGGCGGCCGCATGGAGAAAGCGGCGCGCCCGACGGCCCGAGCGACCTGAAATGTTTGCTTCACAAGATTTGCACGTTTCCAGCATTTTTCAGCACTCGTAGCCCTCGTCGTCGAGGTGGACTGGTGGAGGAGACGTGGAGTACTGTACGTAATAAGGACCCGTGTTGCTGCTCGCTGCCATGGAGCAGGAGTACTATGCGCCTACGCCGACACTCCCGGTGCCAGCTGCCATCCATGCCAAACTCGACCATCCGTTAGCGACTGCCTAGCCGTCGGCGTTGTCTGTTCTGTTCGTGCACGTGCGTATCGAACTACCGGTATCATTCCATCTGCTACAGAGAGCCGGAGAACTACCGCTTTCTCCATTAATAGATAGAAAAACAAATTTCAATTAATCGAACTACCGCATGGAGAAATGCAACACTACAACACAGACCTGCGATTGTCGATTGGTTTTTGGACTAGGAGAATGAGAATGTAAACTGAACACTACAACACAGACCTTACAGAACTGATACATTTTGCAATGGAAACTGAACACCTGGTGCATTCGCGACTAATCTGTCAGCAGCCGGTCGGCCAAACACTGCTCTTTTGACAAATCTTCGGTCCAAACGAAAGGCCAAGGAGCTGCTACCTCGGCCGTGACTGTGCTGCGGGCAGAGTCAGTACTCGAGTGTGTGTACCGCAGTCACTGACGATGCCTATTGCGCCATGGCCCTGACGTTCACATTCACATCGAACCGACCCTCGGTGTCCCGGCGCGAATGAATACAGGGCACGCTGCCCGCATTATCGATCTACCGGTCACAGACTCACAGTACATGACACCACGACAAACTTGAAACGTCGCAGCGCGACCTTTAGTAGTACTAGTAGTACGTGACAACGTCAGTGACGGCAGTGGGTGGGCGACAGGATCGGCGGAACGCCACACCACGACTCCACGAGTGGCCATTGCGCAAGATGAGCGGAGGGTCGGATCGGGGAGCTCAGCTGTGAACTGATCTGCAGATGAACGACGGGACAGGCAGACGAGCGAAAGCGACGGGCAAAACAGCCCGGCCGCGGCGGAGCGCCTCCCACGCCGAGCGCACCAACGGTCGCCTTCTCGACGCTTTTCCGCGGTGACCGGCCGTCCGAGCCGAGCGAACCGAAATCCGCTGGGTTTTCAGTTTTCACCTCGCGGCCGATCAGTCTAGAGTGATCATGCGTGGTTCGTGCCGCTACAGGCTAGAATGACAGACAGGAGCCGTGAAAGCCGCAGTTGCTTTCCGGCGGTTCGGGCCGGGGCCCCTGCCGTGCCTGAGTGTTATGGCTGCTTGGCTGGCTGCTTCACGTGTGCCATACAGGTACAGGGGGTCTCTAACGCCTTGGTCGCATTTGGTTTACCACCATCATAGAATAATAATATCAGAATATAACTAATTTATTTGAAAATTGGCTACAAAGAATAGATCCAAAATTGCATCACCAATTTAAGTGAGGACGAGTGAAATATGCTGTTCTATTTGGCTGAGTAGAAACATACCTAGAAGCTTCCAGAAATTAGCTAGATAAAGATCTAGGAAAAGAAAAAAATATCCTGAAAAACCGAGAGAATCCCTAAAGCATTATATCAATGTATAAACATGTTTTAAAACTTTCTGCAACTAAACTATGAGATGCAACCAACATGAATAAAATATAAACTAATGTTGTATTAAAATATTTCACAACAACAAATACATTAGGTTCAAATTAAATTAGAAAAATAATAAATTAATTTAATATTTATATATTTTTAATGATATTAAATAACGGCAGTGCTATTCTACACCCCAGGTGTATATTCTACACCACAAGCCAAAACTGACCAGATGAGTACTACCGAGCCGCGTTCAGTATCAGTCAATACTACACCCAGTACCTCGAAATACTGAATAATACTGAAATGCGACTACTCTGAATTTTGTTTAGTATAACAGCTTGGTATAGAATAGTATTCTACATTCTACACCTATAGGGTGTAGATATAGCGCGTGTATATTAAATAAATATTTATATATACTATGAAATAGTTTGAATGCATTATTAGTAATGGAGAGAAAACTTTTAAATAGATTCATTATACCTTGTTCTTTGTGAATATATGAAAAAATGTCGGATATATTTTCGTTAAATACAGATCTAGAATCGGATAAAGAAAAATATGAAGAACGAATTCAGGC